AGGTAGCATATACAGTACAACTCATATACGGCATATACAACTCTGATACCTAAAGGTAGCACATACAGGATCTGAGAATGGCTAGAGTGCCCACCTGCACCACCAATGTATCGCAGGTAGGTAGCATATACAATAACTCCAAGTGGCATGACTATAGGCGTTTACGCGCTGAACATTCGCACCTTTAGTAAACGCTACCGCGCTTAGAGCGATACGCGCTGACGCGCGTTGAAACGCGTCCAACGCGTCAGCGCGTACGTGGGGTTAGGGCTCCGTGGTCCAAGATTCTGTCGTTCCGTGCTTTGCACGTTGTGTTCGAGATACGGCAAGAGTGGTGCACTACACTCGCATCGTTTTTCCGCACTATGCGAATGCTCACCAGGCCCGGGGTCCGGCTGAGCGAGCAGCTCCGCTTCATCGTGCAGCTGTAGGTCTGTTCTCACTCTGAACGACACCTGGCGTCGGATGGACACCTCGCTGGTTACGGCCTGCTGGTCCTGGCGTTCGCCGCCTGCGTTAGGGAGCAGCATGTGGAACAGATCTCTCGCGTGTCGAAGGACGTAATGCTATACTTTAAAAAGAGTAAAATAAAAGGGAGTGAATAGAAACTTCAAGATACAGAAATCAGCTTTCCTAGTTGAAAACCACAAGATAACTAGGCATGAGCGCCAAAGGTAATTCCTGCGGTTATGATAGAATTTCTCTGTAGTTACTATAAATTCCTGACGCGTCACGGACACTTCCTGACGGAACAACAAGGTGTGTTTTGTTGCACGTGTTCTTACGACATATGGAGAGCACGCACCAAAACAGACGTCTTCAGTACCGAAGGAAAATGTGTCGGCACGACAGACACAGAAATGCGACAACAGCAGTGTCCCTGATGTAACTTGAACAATCTGATTTACCTCCACAGAAACCAGTTGACGCAACAGGCACCATACAAAGCCTCGCGACAGGGTAATAACTGCATGTCATGTCCCGAAATACGACAAGACGTCATATGTCTGTGTCGCTGTATTCTGTATTAACTTTGAAATGCATTTGGTTTAAGCGAGGCTACTTCAAGTATCATCTCAAAGGCGTACGGGTAGAAATGAAGAAACTGTAGGTGCTGTAGATATGGGCGTCTTTGTAAGAAAATGTTCCTTACTTTACAAAATAAAAAAATATTTATGAAGCTTTTGGTCTATTAATCTTCGCATCAGTAAACCAAGAGTATGTCAATGTCCGACTCTCAGGGACGCCGTGCCACCTGGTAGTTTATAGCGGATGTAGTTCAACGCTATCTCACTACGACCAACGCTATGGCAGCTTTGCGCGGTTCGCTGTTGCAGCAACTCACACTGATCCTCGGCCATGGCAGCGGTCTAGCTCAACCGTCTCGCTGATGCTGATGACCTCAGATGGATGGCGCTCACCCACAGAGGGGGCTGGGCCAAGAACCGGGTGGCAGGATACTTAAATGAAACAAAAATTAAATTAAAGCCAATCTGAAAAATTAGTTTAGAAATAATACTGCCAATAAACAAAAAATGTTTGCCGAGCAAGCGGTCAAACCCTCTCTTGTTCCTGACAGACATCGCTACAAATTATAAACTAAAGATCTGAGAAAGTTAGGGTTCACTACCATAGTAATCTTTTAGTTGTAGCCTTCCTTTCCTGCTTGTTTGCAGCTTACACCGCGGCACATACCCGCTGCCGAAACGTGGCCATAAATATGGCGGTTAAACTTAGGAGACATTAAAAAAAAAACATTTTGATATCGCAGTGGATCTGACGAAACCCTGCAATATAAATCTATACGTACAGCGAAGTTTAATTGTTTTTCCTTTAAAAACAATGGTACGCACTCACTCTGAAGTATTAGACGAAATTGAGAAATTTTGAAAGGTCATTTGAGAATGTCAGATTTGAAATTTTTAAAAATAAAATAAATTGGTAATGATACGTATTACAATAGAAACACAAGAAATACACTTTTGAGATCGTATTTCAGACTGTCGTAAAAGCCTGATCAAGATAACTTAAAAGAAGTGAGTAATGTTTTACTGAATTTTAATAACTGAAATTTCTGAAGGCGACACTAATGCATGGTACTCGTTTAGTATTCTGAATTAAATTACACACGGCATCAAAGACATCCCTGTGGCAGTATCCGAAATTTGAGACGCCGAAGCTGAATACAATTTTTCAGTTAAGGATAGGCCTATTTTTGAAAGGGGACTAATGAGAAGTGTTCCAATATTTGAATATCGGCGTCATGACAGAAAGTAGTGTGCGATATTTTGTGATTCTCCGTAGAGTTGACACAGAGGTGACATCGTCAGACCAGCCCTACGTAGGTTTAAGTTTATTAAGGGGACGCGGCATCTGAATCTCGTGATCGTCACTTCTGATTGTCGAGATTGGCTCCAGTGAGCCTTCCCTGGAAAGTTTCGGTGGTTTTACTCCGTCCATATCGTTACTCATTCCATCCAATCTGTGTGAATTGCTAATTTTCTATATCTTGTTGCAGTGAAGCATTCTACCACTGAAAGAACCTGAATCATTGGAAGATCTAGCGATGTGCGGGCTAAAGCATCGTCCATTTCATTTAATTTTAACCCACAGTGACCTGTGACCCACACTTATTTTAGGTGCCTCAACTGAAGTGCAACTATAAAGACCGTAGCGTCTTGAGGGCACCGAGTTATGGTGAAGCTGAAACGACTGGGCGTTGATTTATTGATTTATTGATTGATTGATTGATTGATTGATTGACTTGTGTAACGGAACAGTGTAACGTAACAGTGTAATTGATATAGATATGTGGGATTTAACGTCACAAATGATTATGAGAGACGCCGTAGTGGAAGGCTCCTGAAATTTTGACCACCTGGGGTTTCTTTAACGTGCACCCAAATCTGAGTACACGGGCCTACAACATTTCCGCCTTCATCGGAAATGGAAGGACTGGGCGTATCGAAAGCGAATATGTTATCACTATCGCCCGGCTTTCGTTCGTCAGAAGTTTTCGCAGTGTCACGATGACAGCCATGAGCTCAGCTTCGAAAACTGGAAGTAAGATCGGGTAGCCTCACGGCGAATTTCGCTTCACAGCTCCGTCCTTTACCCAATGCTCAAGTGAGCCTGCCCCGACGTGTCTTTCTGGTCATCTATTTTCTCGCCCACTGCGCACAACATCCCTCACACTGCCACTATTACTGTGGAGTGCATCGCTGCACCTCACAGTGTCCAATCCTACCGGCTACCCTCTTATTCCTTCACCCTCAAATGCCTACTAGAAGGTGTGACCGCAAGAACGGCTTTTAATATTTACTAATAACTTTTTTCTTATTTTTTCTCGCTGCCCAGGCCAGATCAGGAGTGGCAGAGTCGGCTGATCCAGAGGGCAGGAGATCTGGTGCGAGTTAATGCGACCCCGAACTAAGCGCTCCCCTTTACGACGAAGATCGCGTATCCTTCCATCCTACATTTCTTTATCGTGTGTGACGCAAGTTGTCTAAGACCACTTCAATCCTTATCAATGCTCATTAATTAAGATCAACTATTCAGTCTAACTGGCGCTATAATTTCTTGATTGATATGTAGGGTTTAACGTTCTCAAAACCACAATATGATAATGAGAGATGCCGTAGTGGGTGCCTCCAAAAATTTAGACCACCCGGAGTTCTTTAACGTGCACCAGAATCTGAGCACACGGGTCTACAGCATTTCCGCCTCCATCGAACATGCAGCCGCCGAAGCCGGGATTCGATCCCGCGACCTGCGGGTCAGCAGCTGAGTGTCTTAGCCAGTAAAACACCGCAGCGGGGCGCGCTATTTCTTGTATGAATCAATATAATTAAAAATCGTATTTCATGCACATAATCTGGCCAAGATTTAAAGGAAGGGGAAGGGGGGTCAGATACTCTTTTTGTAAGGTCATGTTTGTATTTGTATGCGTGTATGTATATGTACCCATGCAAAATGGAAATGGGGGGGGGGGGTAATTGCCTTTAACCACCTTCTCTCACCTGGTACGCTTGTGAGCAGCAGCGAATACGAAACGTGGTGGCGTACGCATCGACATCATGCCTGCGCCGACGTGTTGTTCTTGTTCACCCATTAACAGTGGTGCATGCGCCGACATCTCGGAGGCGGTTGTGGCATGCAGAAACGCTTGCGCTTGGCGGTATGACGACGGCCAATCTAATGACACAGCTACAACCTTGAATCCTACAATAGGTTCGTGGAGAGTGGCAGACCTGAGTGTGTGTACCACAGCAGGGATCACATGACCATAGGCTTTCACATGGTTCCTCCTCATGGGAAAGGGGGGAGGTTTGTCCTCGAAAGTTTGCCCCCCTCCCCCTTTATGTCAATGTATGGAGCTTACTTTCTGTCCCTATCTTGTGCGACTACGGGATGGTCGCCCCCCTTCCCCCTCGCGCGCAAGCATATATATGCGCATGACGTCACTAATGAGAGCATTGACAAATGATGCTTCGTTAAACCAATTTTACACCAGGTTTATTTATTCCGACTAACGTACATACTACGTATGCTGTTAGGTTGTGCAAGGGGTTGACAAGTATTCAGGCGCGTTTATTTTACTACGTGTACTACAGCCATTCACAGATTGAAACGCCGCTGGCTTTACTGCTTCGTTATTTCTAATGGAGGTCCCGTGTCGCGATCCTACAGAACTCGGCACCTCCTCCTGTACATAAACGCATTTGTTAGTGTGATAACAACCGTAGGGTTCTCGTTCGTCTGGACATCGTTTGAGTTAAATTTTATTTATGAGCCGACAGGTCCGCGGTAGCCTGTGCTAACTTAAACAAAAGCATCATCGACGCTCATTGCTGCCAAACGGCGCAGGAATTCCGGCACGAATTATGACTCGCATTAGTTGACAGCTCTCCTTGTACAGAACTCGTAAAAGCCTATGAGACGTCTAAACTATGCCCGGAAAATAAAAATAAAAAAATTTAGATGTGCGTGCTGTTCGTGGAAAGAAAGAAATCGCACGTCCCCGTCCGACACTCGAGCGGCGCCGAGAAAACCGCCGCGGACCGACGTCTTCACGGTCTGCAGACGGCCCCCATGAAGACGACCGCGTGGTTGTAGTGGTGGAGCAGCACGTACAGGAACGGCCTGTTGGCGCGGAACGTGATCACGGAGGCGTCGAGCGGTTCCGGAGGCCTGGTCGCCTCGCCGACTCCTTCCTCGGAGGTTTCGAACAGGGCCTCGTGGACGAAGTTGTCGACGGCCAGTCCCGTGCTCTTGCCCGTCATGCGGCTCAGGTCGACCACGTGGTCGTCGAACAGGTGGGTGATGCCGATCGCCTTCAGGGCGGGCACCATGGAGTACGAGTTCTGGAGCCGGAAGCGGGGCAGCCACACGGCCATCGATTGCACGGGCTTGAGGTCCTTCATGAGGCGCCGCACGACGTCGTTGCTGAGGGCGGCCACCAGCTTGCTCAGGGGGACGCCCTTGTCCGGCAGGATGATGAGCAGGCTCAGGGTGCGACACACGTACGACAGTTCGATGGCCTCGCACGGGATGCGAGTGCTGCGGCAGTACAGGGCCCCGCGGCACGACTCCATCATGTCCACTTGAGCCTGCGATTGCGGTTCGAACGGGTCACGTAATTGTCACGATGACGATGGCAGCAGTCAGCGTGTTCGCGGCGAAGTTATTGATTTGGTCTAACCTGTTCCCGGGAAATGAAGACTCACAAATTACTCCCTGTACATTGAAAGCAGCCAGCACAGATTCTGCCGTCGATAAGCTGACAAGCGGTAAAAGACGTCGGCATTCATACGTGTAAATATTTCATACATCGAAGGTTCCTGCGTTATTGTTGGTCCATGATCACGTAAGTTCTCGAATAGACAAGACTATTCGCCTCTTGCACCCAATTTTAGCGGGACAATTTGAAACCATGCGGGTCACTGTTGCAAGCGCTGCCAGACATTCGAATTCATCAAAATAACATTTGTAGCAATATCATTCGATATAGCACGTGTGTGGGGGGGGGGGGGGGGGGGCACTGTAGTAAGATATAACGTGCGCAAGTCAATGGCCGCAACAACGAAAACGATGGAGTGGTTAGGGGGCAGGGCGGTGTGGTTCACTAGCAAGAAGATCGCTTCGAAACTAAAAAAAAAGACTAACAAATGTTACCCTACCGTCTCCCTTGCGTTGACGTAGAAGGGTGCCTTGACGGGTCCGCAGAAAGGCTCACTGAAGACGCCGCGGAAGTAGATGGCGCTGACCATCAAGATTCGGGTGTTCTCGCTCACGTCCCCGTCTCGCAGCAAATGCGTCAGGTTGCCGTCGGTCGCCTGCGTGCGTATCCCACAAATGGGCGCTTACCTACTCGCTTGAAGTTCTGTTGTTTATAGGTATACTGTATAATAGGACGTGATTACTAGCATAGTCATGCGCCGGGGAGGGGCAGTCGCCCGTTCTAGTCACCTAAGAGGGAGAGGCGCAAACACTCTCGACGGGTTTTCGCCGTCGCTGTCACGTCCCGTATCAGGTTCACATTGACATAATAGGGAGGGGGGCGTGGCGAATAACCTTCGCCCCACTCCCTGAATGGAAACCCTGCGCACGCCTGTGATTATAGCGCAATGATACAGAGACGAGAAGGAGAAACACGGGACCACGCTAGGTTTCAACTTTGCTTTCTTTCGTTCAACGTGGTTCTCAACTTCTTTTATGAGGCACAAAATGTCCAGAAACAACGGCCCCTTTCAATTTTTTCGTATGCCTCACCGCAACACGGTTTCGCTATGCGGCGAAGCCAACTCGTCTTTTCGCGAAACGGCTGTGAAGCGTTTGTTGCAATTTTCTACGACATGTGCTTTTTCCGGGCTCGTAAATTTGAAGAACAAGCATAGCTAGAAGCAAGTGGAATGTGGCTGCTGACCGCAGAACTCATTGACAAGCTTCTGCGATCGAATGGGAATGACACGTTAGTTTGACCATTTGTTGCCATGGGGAAACAAAGGGTGCCTATCAGGCGACACATGTGTTGATTTATGACACCCCTCCCCTTTTTTTCTCTCTCACTTCAAGGGGTCCCACATCACTTTTACCAGTCCACATGGTGTCCACATGACTGGTATGTGTCCACATGGTGTCCACATACCAGTCCACATGGTGTCCACATGGTGTCCACATTACCAGTCCACATGGCTGAGAACCACTACTGGTATATGAATAAAAATTGTCGACCGTATGCGCATCAGAGGTCCGTTATTACTCTCCGCAGTTGGTGACCCCTGTTGTATTTCTTCTCGGGTAATCAGGCTCCTTGTAAGAGTGTGACAGCGAGGTTGTACTGACTCGCGCACCAGCTTCTTTTTGCGTGGTTAATAACAATGCACGCGGGTTTTACGTTCCGAAATTCTGATGTGATGATGAGGGACGGCGTGTTGGAGGGCTCCGTTGTATTGCGATGTCATTTATATCGGCACTCTCGATGGGTTTTTGTCGTCGCTGTCGCCGTCATGTCCCGTATAAGGTTCACATTGATAACACCCCCCCCCCCCTGCCTCCGCATCGTATGTTCTACCGCGGAAAAAAAGCGCACCAGCGCGGATGACGGACGCAGCTGAAGCATCGATCAATCCAGGCGGCCCATCTCCGTCGCTCGGAGGGCTGTTACGATTACGTCTACCCGCTAGGGAGGCCCTCCGTCAAAGCAGAGAGGAAATATTCCGCCTCTTTTGAACGAGCATGAAAAGACGTGAGGAGAGAGGCGGGGGTCGCTAGAGAAGCAGCATTGAACCTCTGAGGGTGCGGTCACGGCTGCTGGAGTGCGTGCTTTCTCGGTAGTCATCAGCGGGATGCTATAGTATACCCCTCTACGTGCTGCGCCCTCAACGCGAAAAGATTATGCGGAAAGAGAATCTATTCTTGCATTAAGCGGCCGTTCTCTCTCACACCAGCGTTTTGTCAAAAACGGCAGGTCGCGGGATCGAGTCCCGGCTGCGGCGGCTTTCCGCGTCCATTTCCGATGGAGGCGCAAATGCCTGTATGCTCAGATTTGGCTGCACGTTAAAGCACCCCGGGTGGTTGAAATTTCCGGAGCCCTCCACTATGGCATCTCTCATAACGATATGGTGGTTTTGGGACGTTAAACCCCACATATCAATCAATCAATTAATCAATCAATCATCCAATCAAAACAATCAGCGTTTTGTCAAGTCACGCGAGATTGCATCCAAACAAATTAACTGTCGGCCTCACTTCGTATAACACACGATTCGTTGCTATCGCATTCATTACTTCGCCCTTGTGAAAGACTGTGACTTTTATTTTAACTTTTTTCTAATAATAATGGGTCTCCGGTGATGGTGCCGTCAGTAATCTTTAAGTGTATATACTTGCACGTTGAATGTAATTAAGTTTAGTTGAAGACTAGTGCGAGGTCCTCTCATCCCTGTCCCTTTTCGCTTCTAGTGGTGCTTCTGTGACGCTCGATACAAGCTGTGTATAGCCCAAAAATAATTTATCTCTCTAAACTGATTTAATGCTTCTCTTTGGTGTCCTTTCGAATCCGCGGGCAAGTCACCTTAGCTGCCCATGCGTTGATCTCCTGGGCAGCCGCCTGCGGATTTTCCTTGAAATTCATGCGGCCCAGATCGACGGAGAAGGTCTCTGCCAACGTCTCCTTGAACTCGGGCAGCAGCGGGATGTCGTCGGACACGAAGAGTCTGTTGCCCAGCGACACCTGCAGAGTCCGGAGAAGATTTAGCACCGCGAAATAGCCACACTCTATATAACGTCCTTAAAGGGACACGAAAGAGGAACACATAACTTGGTTTAGGTTGACAAACTGCACTCTGAGAACTCTAATGCCGTATGTTTCACGATCACCAGTTCATTATTACGGGATAAATGTTGGTCGAGCTTTCGGTTTGTAAATTTGGCGCCAAAGTATTTGCCCTTGTAGTAAATTTCAAAATGTACTTTCGGTATTTTCGTGGCATGGGCCCTACGAGATTTTCCGAAACTTCGTATGCTAAGTTTGTGGCATCCACAGATTAAAACATACCTCATTCTTTATTAATGTCAGTCTGCACAGGGTCCAGTATACGCCTTAAAAATTTCCTACGTCATGGTGCTTGGTGCGGGAATCTCAAGGTGACGTCGCCACCCGCATATTTGTTTTCCCGCTCAAAAAGCGTCGTGTCGCGGTAAGAATGGTTCTTCCGGTATTACGACGTAGTAGTTTACTTATACGCGAAAAAAATCGTTTTGCTCTTTAATGTCCCTTTATATCACACGATCCCTCGTAAGTTCGTCTTAGACGACTCGCAGGCGAAAGCCGTTTGGTTCTCTGTCTTCCCCTCTCGGAAGCTTTCTGCACCGAACGTACTTTTGCACTGCCTCCTGGATCGGAGGCATTGGAACCTCTTTTTACTTCATGTGGTATTGCAGTGGCTCCGTGATCGGCCCACCTTTGAGCAAGGAACTGTGTCTCGTGATCACGTCATCGTGCGACGCCGCGTCGTGCGACCTCACAGTGGCGTCATGAATTCCGGAAAACCGTGACGCCATATGTGACGTCATTACGAGAAGATTCTGCAATCCCTATAGTGTTATGGTTGACGGTTACTTTCCGCGCTTGATGAGGCATCTTACATTTCGCCTTTAAGGGACCCTGAACTACCCAGAGATGGATATTTAGTTGTGGTGTCGCAGTTGTGCACGAGTCTGAAACAAACACGGAACCGCGAGAATTTTTTGAAACGGTGCCGTAATAGCGCAGTTACACGCGCTTGGTCATCCATTAGCAGCCGTCGCTCGTTCCGCTCTTTCCTTCGCTGCGCTCATTTCATCGGCTCGTCTCTCCTTCTGACCGAGCGCTCCTCCTCAACCTGCGAGGAGACAGAGCAGGGAGGGCGCGTATATCTGCTGCAAGCGAACGGGCTCTTGTTGTTATTGACGTGACCAGACGCGCTTGCTGACGTCACGACAACGCAGGAGATACCGAAATGCCCAGTAAAGAGTACGGGATTGTTTCGTTTTGTGAGCGCGTGTGTGTGTGAGAGAGGGAGAGACATCCACGACTCGTGGCGCTGCCGCGTTCTGCATGGTTCATATAGTGACGGCATTCTTAAAATCCTTGCGCGTGTTTATTTACATGAAAAAGTTAAGAAACTACGGGAGGGTGATTTAGGGGCCCTTTGAAAAGTCGGAGCGCTTACGGCGCATGCTGCGAGAAGAGCTGCAGGTTACACGCGCACCTTGGTCTTGGGCATGGCGCCGTTGAGCATGGAGAGTATCCTCTCGCAGGTGCGGTACAGGTTGTTGGAGTCGATGGCGCCCACGGCGTGCACCACCTGGGCGGTGGTGGAGTCGCTGCTGCCCACGATGGCCATCCCCAGGGCGACGGCCACGCCGAACGGGGACAGGCACACGTTGTTGTCGGGGCCCTCCTGCAGCGCGTGCGCCACCAGCTTGAGGCCGAAGTCGGTGAGCGTGCAGAAGGGCCTCCCCGAATTCGGCGTGCCCGGCGTCGCGGGCGACGCTGTGCCCAGCGGATTCCGCAGCGGGCTCGCACTGCCGGTCGACATCGCCTCGGGGGCCGCCGCGATGTCGATGGCCCGCGGGCTGACCGAGAGAGGCTGTAGTTGCTGATGATGACGCTCCTGGAATGATTTGCGCCTGTACCCACTCAAGGGTATCGGGCCAAGAGTCGGGTGGATCGTATAGTTTGAAACCGTTTCAAGATACAACATTGGTTGCAGTGTCAAGTGGTTGTTGTTGTTGTTGTTGTTGTTGTTGTTGTTGTTGTTGTTGTTGTTGTTGTTGTTGTTGTTTCCCCGTGCAAATGGCTCGTACCCAAAGGAGGGGATTGGCCGATCATAAGGTGAATTCGCCCTACACTTTCAGCATTGCGTCATTGTTACAAAACTTTTGTAACTTAATTTTGATTCGAAATGTCGATGTCAAGTTTGCAGGGGAAAAAAATGAAGAAAAATGGTGACACCGTAATTTAGCAAGAAAATCGTTTAGTCGCATTGATGTATTCCTGAACGGAGAATAAAAACATCCCTGTGGCCGAAACCCAGTGTAGAGGCTCCAAATGAAAGAAGATCAGGTTGTGATAATTATAATAAAGAATTGTTCTTGATGAGTCCCAAGTTTAGCCACTTTTCTGTTGGTCGCTATAGATGTAGGGGACAGATGTTAGCTGTGCGTGCTGGCTCTTGCTACACATACCAGGAACCGTGGATGGATTAAGTCGAAGAAAAGTTTCCCCGCTTTCACCCAGTGTTAAATATGCAGGATCATATTTCGTGATTGTGTCTGTCTGACTGTCAGAAAAAGTGTATTAGTTTAAGGGATCGCTTGTCTTTGTTAGACGCAATATAAATTAAATATAACAGCTGATGGTGTCATGGGAAGTACAGAAGTGATTGTAAAGTTAATGCGAAGAAAGAAAAGAGCGAAAAAATAACTTGCCACCAGCTGGATTGTTCCTATCTAATTTCTCTTTATTTTTTGTAGCAAGCGTTGTAAAAAATGATCTATTGTGAGGTACAGTGTGGCCAATTCCCCATGTGGGTATGAGCCAAGATCTCCTAGGAGACAAGACTAGACAAGACTGAACCTGCCGGCGGCGAGCTCTCTTACATTACTCTCTTGGCATCATTGTTACTTCTTATTATTATATTGTTTAACAAAGGAAAACGAGCCCTTAAATTATTACACTTCCTTCTTACATTCGAGGCTCTCGTTCTGGAAGATCTCGACACCTTCGGGTGGTGCATGCGAGGGATATTTTGGCAGCTGGCAGCTCGCAATAAGATCACGTGCTACGTGACGTCAACAGGCAAAAAAAAGTGTTTCGCTTTGTGCCTATTTTTAAGCAGAATTTTTAGCGATAATTGTGGCTCTCCGTAAAACTAACGGCAGCAGTAAGTTCGGCAGTAATTTTGACGGATTCACCATCGGTATGTGCCTCCCCTATTGGAAATGAAAACTCGCATGCTCAGAGTGCTTTCAAAACGTTAGTTCCCTCGCATCTCAATCTGATCAAATCGGTATGGGTTCCAGGGCATAAGGGCTTACTTATGAATGAAATGGCAGATGCGCGTGCTAAGTCATCTTAAAATGGGCTTGTTATTGAAGTATTACCGGCATCCAAATTCTTGATAGGCGCTAGATTAAGAAGGAAACTGCTGCTGGAGGAATTTTCTGCACCTTCACTGACGGCCACATCAAAATTCAAGCACTTCATGTATTATTGGAAGAATAAAATATCTCAAACAAGAGGAATGGAAGTCGCAATCACTAGACTGCGTTGTCGAATCCCGCAGCTAAATTTATATTTACACGGAGCTGGTCTGGCACCCTCTCCTCATTGTCCTGTTTGGGAAGTAAATGAGTCAACCGAACATTACTTCATTTCCTGCAACAGATACACTGCCTTACGCAAAAACACTTTAGGTGACATTTGCCGCCTCCTCACAATGACATAAATGCGCATAATGTGCTTTCTTTCGGGGCTTCGTTTTTTAGCCACGGGAAGACTGCCGTCGCATTCCAGAAGTTCGTCAAATGTTCAAAGAGGTTTAAGTATTGAAATCATTCTCCGGTAGATCCCATTACTTTTCCAAATTCAATTCTAATTCAATTGCGCTGCTTCATTTTATTACACTACTGTTCATTTACTATTGCAGTCCTGTTTCATCTTTCTTTTCCTTGCTCGCAAGCATATCAATCGTAATTTGTTATCAAAGAAGTCTATCAGGAAATCTATCCGGTTTTTGGCCAATCCCCCAGCGTGGGTACGCGCCACATATTCAAGGAACTTGACTTGACTTGACTTTTGGGTGAAGTGACTTTAGTGATTCACGCTCGAGCCGTCCTTACCCGTTTTAGATGTTCGGCAACTGCTTCTTGCGCGACCGAAACAGGTGCACAATCTATGGATGCGTCTTACTTACCCACCGCAGCGTGACATGCGACGTGAACACTCATCTGCAATAAGGCCTAACACTAGTACAGGTCCGCTGTTTGTATAATAATAATAATAATAATAATAATAATAATAATAATAATATAATGGTGTTACGTACGTTCCGAAACCACGACATGATTATGAGGCAGGCCTTAAAGTAGGACACCAGGAATTTCGACCACCTGTGTTGTTTAACGTCACATAGCACAGTACACGGGCCTGTGGTATTTCGCCTCCACTGAAATGCGACCGCTGTTCCGCCGAGGCGAATGCAGCACGGCACTGGACAGCAGCGGATGATGAAAGAGGACCGTCCTGGTAGGTGTTCTGTGGGGCCGCTATGGTACTTAATGTGCCAGCGCAAAACTTCGAGTCAACTGCTGGCAGTAGGCACCGAGCGGCTGCCACGCGCTGCGATGTTCCTTTTCAGAGTGGACCATTGCGTTAAATTCGATAGTTGGACTCATGGAGGCATGGATTGCAGTTCGGCTGCCTTGCAAGGCAGCGTGGTCGGTCCTGGTTAAGGCCAGGGCAGGTCTCTTACGAGGTGTTTGTAAGATGAGCGGGACGACTGACGCCCAGCATTAGCAGTCGGCACTGTCCTCCTCCAGGCGGGTTAAAACCACGTTTGAGATCGTGATAGTTGACAAATCATCTCTAACAACCAGCGCTAACTGGACGAAAGGTAACAAAGGCAGGCCAGAAGAAAGACAAAGTCAGTTGGAAGTCCGCACTTGTCTTTGTTCCCCTCCTTGTTTTTTTTGTTTTTTTGTCGGCTTTGTGCGTGTTCGTTGTTGAAGACGGGCTTAACTCACCTGCTGTGGATGAGAAGATCCGTTTTGAACTCCCCCCCCCCCCACCCCGCCCCCGAAATTTCAAGGTATATGAGATCACATGCATAATTACTAAACGGTGGCGCTTCTGTGGCGGACAACGCTTCGTGGAGTGTCCGATCGAGTTCTCCAGGACCAAATAGAGTTAATTTCTGCTTCATCACGAAGCAGGACGAACTTCACGAGGAAGCACACGAATCACTGGCGCCGAACTCTCAGTTCTACTTTCATTCACGTGCTCAGAACGTATAAACGTATATACACACACCGGGCATCCTGCAGATATGTTCATTCAGATTTACATGATCTGTCCATGTGAATAAAAGCCAAGTTGAGAGTACGCCGCTTGTGTTTCGTGTGCTTTCTAGTGTTTTTGGGCTGCTTCGTGGCGCCATCTAGTGATCATCAATCGGACACCGTGGCTATATAGCCCAGTTTCCAGTTCTTCTAAACAGATCACGTATATAGCGCGCACACATATATTTCCGCTTGTAAAGCGCTATTTCTTTCTCTCCCTCTCTTCAAAATTGATCACAGCATTAATGTGCGGAACACTACAGACAGACACAGGGGCGGCGCCAGGATGTTTTTACGGGGGGGGGGGGGGCAACCACGAAAAGTGAGTTCCTCCGGGGGGGGCAAGCTAGCTCTGCTCCTACTAGGTTTTCAATATATGCTTCCGGGCACTTGGGTGGGCATGGGGGGGCAGGCGAGAATTTTGGATGGCTCCAGCCCACCCTTGCCCCCCCCCCCTGGCGCCGCCCCTGTACAGACACCGTGCATGTTTAAGGCAGAAGTTCGTCACTCGCTTCCACTGCGCCTGAGGAACTTGTAGTAGAGCGACCCCACGGCGTCTGAGAACGCTGTTGGCAGCACGGACAGCGCGCACAGGAACAGCGGCCACACGCCGCTGTCGCTCACGTAGAGGGCGCGCGGACTGCGTGAGCCCAGCGCGTGCTCAACGTGGTCGAACACGGGGCTGTCGTCGAGTTGAGCCGGAGACAGCGCGCCCTGCTGGGACTTCCAGCCGCGCACGAAGCCCCGCACGTAAGGCCCGTGAACCGAACGCTGCTCCTCGTCCATGGAGTCCCACATTGCCTGCGTGGGAAAGAATAAGGAGATGGTGATGCCTTATACAGCAAAACGCTTTCACAATGAAGTGTGCTAATGCGGACTTGATGATACGTACATAGATAGATAGATAGATAGATAGATAGATAGATAGATAGATAGATAGATAGATAGATAGATAGATAGATAGATAGATAGATAGATAGATAGATAGATAGATAGATAGATAGATAGATAGATTAGATAGATAGATAGATAGATAGATAGATAGATAGATAGATAGATAGATAGATAGATAGATAGATAGATAGATAGATAGATAGATAGATAGATAGAAACTGCATTTATTGTGAAAGAGAGAGAGACTTTGGGGGCCAAAGCATGGTCCAGCTAAATACTCCCGAAACGGCGCATGACGAGGCCCCACCGCCTCATGCCCGTCTCACCGGAGTCCGTTAAGACTTCAGGGAGGAGCAGTTGAGGAGGGCAGTCTCCCATGCCTCACATGCCTCTCGGGAAAGGGTATAGCAGAAACGTGCAGGTCGGGGATTTCTGGCATATGCCGTCACCGTGCGGGAGATATCGCAGGTATCCCCTGTGGGCACCGCCGATCCTTGTTCGGATCGATGTGTTTTAAAATTGCAGAGACAGAGTATATAGGGCCTGTATGCAGGCGCCTTAGAATTCGTTCAACCGTCCAGCTCAGCTCCTTTGCAGGAGCCGAGAAAAGGCAGCGAGTGTCGCGATAATAATTGTTGAACAGCAGCAATGGTTTACTAGCCTCTGAGTCGTAAGAGCTGGAATGAGGAACCCGGTGTTAATAAGCGCTCGGGCGGCCTCATTACGTCGTACACTCCGATGGCCAGGAGCCCAAATTATGTGTTTCCGGGGTTGGGTGAGTGGTAGCCAGTTTCATAATTTGGCTGGCTATCGGGGGATATCTCTCCTGCCTAGTATATGAGGGCAAAGTAGAAGCGACAGGGCAAGGCACTGAAAAGGCCCGAGGAAACCGACATAAACTATAAGTCTATAGTCTATAGTCTTTAACTGCGGACTTGTTGATACACACTGAAACTAGAAACAACGCAAGGACGGTTTATGTCAGGCTCCGTGGGACCCTTTCGGCACCCAGTCTTGCCTTCCGGTCCTAGCGATGTTTTCCAGCTTCATAAAGGTCTGCCGAGGAACTTCAGAGCGCACCTTTGCACTGGAACAAGCCGAATGCCACAGGCTTGATTTCCGCCGTTATTGACATTCATAATAAAACTAGCTGACGATGAGGACCAAAAATGGCTGGCCAAAGTTACCCAGCATTTATTTAATACTTAATTTCATGGAGAATAGTAAATAAAAATATAAAAATAAAATTAAAGTGCGCGAAAGAGAGCAGGTGGTAGAGGAAATCACTTTTCGCATTTCGCCTGCGATGCATTTCCTTTTGGACCTGGTAAAATAATAAGGTCCTGATTAATCATTTCTTTTTACCCTTGAGCTACAACGGCTTCTCCCACTAATCTACTTGTGGGAGGGGGAAGGGGGCGAAGTTTGTCACATTATTTCACCTGTGTGAAGTGCATAGTTACGCTCGTTCAGGTTCGCCGTGATAATGGTGACTGAAGACCACTCGGGTCGCATCACTAGAACCGTTATTCCCTACATTTACTCCTGGACAGTCTGGGACCAAAGGAATTGGCCGTTGTAATAATAGTAGTAATGTCTGGAGTTTTACATCCCAAAACCACGATATCCTTACGAGGGACGGGCTCAGGAAATTTGGACCATCTACTGTTCTTTAACGTGCTCTTACCTGGCACTGACATTGCACATTACATGGATCTATATAGCACCCCTCGTCGAAATGCGACAGCCCGCCACCTAAATCGAGTCAGCAGCGAGCATCGCAACCGCTGGACCACGCGGCAGAATGGACGCTGAGAAGAACGTCGCGGGTTCATTTTGATTTTCGAATCCGTTGCGAGGATTGCTTTCCTTCGGACTCAACAGGACTCCTTATTTGCTCGGACTGCTTCAATGGTAAGGTTTCCTATAGATACACTAGAGGGGACTCTGGCGCTAGTGACCGTGGGAGCTTCAACGCACGGCGCTCCAGATAGCGTAACTGACGCTCCATGGCCAATCCGTGTCCTACCCACCATATGTGGTGGGCAGTACACGGATTTGTGTGATCTTCGTTCTTTGAGTTGCGTTTGACTTCGTGGTGTGTGAATTCGCTTTGCCTTCAAGGTGAAGTTCACCGAACGTTCAGCAGTTTCGCGTCACCACCTTGTCCGTCACCACCTTGACACCACCTTGACGTCACCACCTCGACGTCACCGCCTTGACACCTTGAACTGGCCATGGCCAGTTCAAATCGGTTTATGAAGTTTGCAACGACCCGTTCTTCTATTAAAAAAAACCAAACACGGCAATAAGCAAAGTCACAAGTGCGTTCGATGCCCGCAAGCACAAAGACTATATAAGAAAATTTGTGTAGTAGCCGTCATGTCCCTCTTGACTGAGTAGCGCGAAAAAAAAATGAAGTACAAAAGGAAGACACTTGGGCACAGCGCACTTTGTAATCATTTTCTTTTATCACACGAGTTCTCGTAACTGCATATATATGTCTGTTTTTTTCAATAAAGGTTCAGTTGCTATAGTGTGCTCTGTGTTCAGGTGTCTTTCTTTTGTACTTCAATTTTTTTCGCTCAGATTAAGATTAATTACCAACTCGCCCAACAGTTCGTGCTTCCCGTCATTTCCATGGTGGATGGACAATCATCAGCGCCAGGGTTCTCTCTCGTTAATTTTAGGAAACTCTATTGCTTGAACATGGAGTAGGAAAGCCGTTTGCGGTTCAACTTACTCCTCCCTCCACTGATAGACAAGTTTGCGCATGCCTATCGTTAGAACGAACGCACCAAGAGCAATTTTTCGTTACGAACTCAGATCGGCTCTCCGTAATACCTCGTTGTCGTCACCCTGGCGTTTCATGATTCCTGTGTGCTTGGCCAGGTCCCCGGGTCGAACGACGATCGCGTGGGCCCCGTGACGGGCCAACTCGAGCCGCAGGCAGCGGGTGAACGATTCCACGGCAGTCTTGCTGGCGCAGTAGGCGGACATGCACGGCATGGCAGGAGCCGCAGGCCACCACCGTACTCAGGCACACCACACGCCCTATGCGAGAGACCACAGAAAAACTTAGCAGTGGCTTGGCTCGGCTATTGCAGGATATATGTAGCGTGAGCTACGGACAGACCAAGAAGGATATAAAAACTTGCTGGAGTGGAAGCGACGCCCGTCAGGTGACGCCAGCGGCAGCCATCTTGCCGGAGGCAGAAAGCGCGCTGCCGGTGTGTCGCCTCCACGCTTCGTTGCTGGTGCACGCTGTTCTCTTCAAAGTTTTCAATGAGTGCAAGTTTTCAATGAGTGCGTTGCCTACGGATGCACAAACAGGCTGAAGAAAGGTTCTGGCCTCACATTTCACCTGTAAGTACATGAAATTTAGCGTGTTCTACTCGCGGTCATTTCAGCCGCATTGTAGTTGCTTGCAGGCCCGCGCATGAAAGAGCAGCAAAATGGCATTGTGTGTACGTGTGCCGCAGTTGATTGTCGTATATTTCTTGACAGGTTTCCAAAGAATGCAGAAGTTCGGAGTCTTTGGGAGCGGGCAGTTCGCCGTGAAGGGTGGCGCGCTAAGGATGGAGACCGCCTGTGCTCTGTACATTTCACTCCTGAGTGATTTGACCGCACTGGGCAAACGACGCGACTGCGGGTGGGAAGTGTGCCCACGTCGTTTCCAGCTTTTCCGCCTCATCTGCAGAAACCTGTGAGTATTACTGACATCGTTGGACGAGAAGCGTAATGTTTAGCGTGCATAACGCTTGTGGCGTTACGGCCGCTACATAATACTTGTTCCACGAAATGTTGTTGCGGGTATACGTGGCATTTTTTGCGTGCCGAGAATTGGCGGTACTGTGGAGGAGTAGCTGTAGATTTAGCATATCGTTACCGTGTTTGCGTTACCGTTTACCGCGTTACCGGACACCACCGGCGAAGGTGAAGTTACCGGTAATGGTAACTGCTTCACCTTCGGCTTAACTGGTGATCAAGATACTTATTTATTTATTTATTACTACTGACCTGTTTACCAGGTCTTAAGCAGGAATTGGCATACAGAAATGTTTACTACAGAAACATTATTGACATCTACAGCATACTGACAGTGGTTACAATTCAATACTTAAAGGCACATCCGGCGAATGGAAAGTTATACCAGAGCGGGTGCATGTCCTTTTTGCTGGCATACAATGTCTCGTGCACGACTATGAAAAGCTTGTTACTTAATACATTTATTATTTCTTCAAAGAAAATGTGTAGCTTAATCGTACCCACATTATACGTGTGAGGTTTCATTTAGTTTTTGCGCTTGCTGCCTTTTTAGCTCGTCTGAGAAAACGTATGCTTTCAAACCCAGGTCAAACAGAAGCGTGCCGACCCCAAGTCTCGAGATTTCCCGGCCCCGCTTGGTCCTGAGTGTTCTGGGTTGTGCGACCTGCCTGGAGCTGAATATTTTCCTGAAGACTCGCCAACCAAACAGTTCTACAAAGACAAGGTCCTTTTCTCACAAGAAGAGATAACCCAGTTGAAGAAGAAGGTCAAAACACTGCAGCAAACTAAACGAAGGCTGGTCAAGAGAAATGAAACCGCCCAAGAAATCATCAAAGAAATCAGAGAGCGAAAACTCTTGTCAGAAGAAGGCTCGCATGTGTTTTCATCTGTTTTCTCGGATGACATTCAGCAACTACTTTGCAGGGTGGGCAATGAGCAGAAGGGCAAGTACCCACCTGAGCTGCGAGCATTTGCACTGACTTTGCATTTTTAGTCCAGCCGCGTACGAGTATGTACGATCCAAGTTCAACGAAGCCCTCCCATCCCAGCGAACACTAAGGGGCTGGTACAAGTCTCCCCGCACTGCTCGTTTCGGCTATACTTTTCGCATATATTTTTAATGTTTGTGTGATTGTGTTCTTCCATTTTCGAGTTTCTCAAAGCGTTTTCGTAGGCCATTTCGCCACCAAAAAGCAGAATAAATGCTTACAGCCTGACACAACTGTTTTTATTGCTTTGAAGACGCGAGAAACTGCACCTGCTGCTTAGATAAGCGCGAGCGCAGCTGTACTCGGCTGTTTCTTGCCTCTGCCAAGATGGCCGCCGGTGGCTCGGCGCGGCTTCACCCGCTCCCATGGGTAAGCATAGGCGGCTTCCACTCCAGCAGGTTTTTATATCCTCCTTGGGACAGACGGAAGGAGAAACAGATGAATGGAGGCACGTACGGACAGATGGACGGACGAACTAGCGAGCGAGTGAAGCGCCTGCCCACTAGTGACATCTCCATGAGCTTCAGCAGGAATACAGTGGCTCTTTTCCGGTGCACCAGCCGTGCGCCCTGTGACGTCACTGCTTCTCGGCTATGCGCAGCACTGCTCTCGATAAGCGACGCGAAAATTCTCGTCGGCCAGTGAAGCGAACGCTGCAGTACACAAACTGTGACATTACATCGAACATTCTTTCGGAGTCCCCTTTTCCTGCTACTCGGGGATAGCATACACACGTGTGCACGAGTGGGGCAGGAGGGGTGGTCACTCCACTCCTCCCTATCCATCTGAAGGGGAAGAGTCGCCAACTCTGCCCCTTGCATTTACGTATGTCGGGCCTGTCCCGTCATTGGGGAGCTTCGGACTCGAGAAACTTGCGATCCGCTAGGGCGCATGCACAGAACCCAAACCACTTTTCGGTTCTTCCGCTTCCGTTGACCGAATTAGCAAAAAAAAATATCGAAAACTAGCGTAGCTTCCCAAGGCGTCTTGCGTTGCCAGCGAAAGGACGCAGACAGCGTGGGCCACGATGCAGTATGGTTCTTTGGCAATAATCCAAGAGTGCCTTGGAGTTTGCGCATGCGCCCCTGCAAATATCAAATCGCTATAGTGTCCTATGGGGCCCCAGCTCTCAAACTACCTATTCAATGCAAGTTCATGAAAGTGGAAATTTGGGCTCAATTTTTCTGAATGATAACAGCGTTATGTGCGTGAGTGTATGAGCCTTTTTTTATGTCGCTGTTTGTAGTGCGCCTTTGCCGTTACAACAAAATGAAGGTCAAAGTTATCAGCATGAAGATTATTTACGATGATGGCGGCCGAGGACTCCTCACGTTGCACTCAAACATGAAGGAAGACAGAAGAAAGCAGGAAACGTTACGTCCCACTATTGAGGCCCACCACGTTGGCCCAAGACGTGGTCAAAACGCCGGAGCGTGTGGTAGGTTTTGGTGCGCTCAGTCAGGTTCTGATTTTGAAGCTTCTCTGCGGGCTGGCCGCAGACCGGCCAGCCCGCAGAGCTTTTAAAAACTGCCGGGTTCCATACCCCGAAGTCTCGGCAAATCTCACTTCTAGCGAGACGAAAAAGGTCACGTGTTGGGCCGGCACTGTTGGGTTTAAAAAGGGTATAGTGCCTAGAATATATTCTATGCACTATAAAACGGGTGGACAACCAAGACTGGGTGCACGACGTCTTCCTTCTTATATTTCTTTCCTCCATGCATTCAGAGACTCTTTCACTTTCACCCCTGGAAAGCCTGGGACCTAGGGCAGGCCGTTGTGGGAAGCACGTACTCTAACAGCGGGTGGGGTATCAAGGGGAGGCTTTGCGGTGAAATTAACCCCCCTCCCTTCCTCAATGGGGAACCCCGCACACGCTTATGGTGCAGGATGGCAGTCGGATCAGGTGCAATGAATAATTCAAATAAGTTTTGCTGGAGTCCTGTGAGGTGGCGAGCGAGTTCTGAAAAGGAACATTGAAAACCACCAGTCTTGCAGCACGAAGCTACCCGCAAATACACTAGTCTTTTCAAAAAATAAAATGTATATAGAGATGAACGAGATCTTCTTAGTCATGAATGTTCGTCCTTGTCCGAGGACCGAACCCCGAACAAGGCCTCTCCGGGATGGTCATTGTACCGATTTTGTTGTATGCTAACCATTCTCAACACGAGGGCGGACCAGTCGACAACTTGAAGTTGTCGACTGGTCCAAGAACAGTGTATATTGTCCGTGCAAGAACAATGTATAATGTCCGTGTGCTTCTAGTTGTCGTGAACCTATTTGCTTTCCCACAATGGCTGGCATGAAAGGCGTTGGTCCGTGGGTGACCATCGCACCATGAAGAATTTTCTCAGATCAAATAAGAAGTCTTTTTTTTCTTTGTGAGAAATCCGTGCGGATTTCCTTGTGGCTTCGAGAGACATTCAGGTGGTTGTCGGTTTCTCTTTCATAATAACATACTCCCGAGGGAGAGATTTTTTTCTTAGATAATGGTAAAACAGGGTCGATTCAGAAGTTCGTGTTTACTGTTCACGCATGCCCAAATGGACAGACAAGGCCGTCTTCTTTTGCTTTTGAATGATTTACATAACCTGCTGTCCTCACGTGAAAGTTTCGGTCACTTACTGGCAGTGAATCATTTCATTTTATTTATCAGTATATCGCAACACACGTAGCGGGAAGCAGATGGTAAAACCGAGGATAGTTCGAGGGAGTGCATCGCCTCCGTACTGGCGAATGTACGGAAATTTTGTGTACATCGTCATACAATTTGACAAACCGTCATTATGAGCTCAACATCGTCGCGCACTTTGACGAAACTAACCAGTTAATAACAAAAAACACATCATTAATTGTTTCCCTACAGATAAAGCCGATCGTGCATTACCATTACCCGCGCTTACTTGTTCGCGAAAAAGTGGGAACTCCGATTTTACGCCATCATCATCATCATCATCATCCGCCTGACTACGTCCACGGCAGGACAAAGGCCTCTCCCATGTTCCGCCAGTTAACCCGGTCCTGTGCTTGCTGCTGCCAATTTATACCCGCAAACTTCTTAATCTCATCTGCCCACCTAACCTTCTGTCTCCCCCTAACCCGCTTGGCTTCTCTGGGTATCCAGTTAGTTACCCTTAACGACCAGCGGTTATCCTGGATTTTACGCCATCCTCCCTATAACGAAGAGGGGGGTCTTAACGCTTCGCACGAGGTGACCGCGTGTCTAACCTTTGCTTTGCCGTATGTACGGCAAACAGGCCTTGGTGAGCCTCATGGTGCCCAGCAGGTTGACCGCCATGGTCCGCTCCACCTGCTCCAGTGTCATCCACTCGAACTCGCCGAGCACGCACACGCCCGCGTTGTTCACCAGACCGCACAGCCCTGCAGCGAGCGGAGCGTACAGCCGAACCGCGTTATAACGAACACCCGATGATACGAATTATCGGTAATAGCGAAATACGCCATCTTTCGCACCCGCCGGGCTGCTCTACTGACCCGAAGGTAGCGGGATCGCATCCCGGCCGCGGCGGCCTAATTTTCGACGGTGGTGGAAATGCTTGAAGCCCGCGTACTTAGAGTCATGTCTCCACCGACTCCAGATGGCCGAAATTTTCGGACCCGTCCATTACGGCGTCCCGCATAATCGTGTCATTGTGTTGGGACGCAAGACCACCATAATTAATTCAACTTTGATTGCTTACACTTAGTTTCAATTACATTTATTTTCTTTTAAGAAGCTGGAAACGCGAGCGTTGCCATTATATCGGATATAACGAAGCAAACGGTTTGGTTTTTGTGAGCCTGTACACTTGACGGGTAGCATAAAAAGCAAAACAGTTATTTAGGTACAGTTCACAATCATGTTTCTTTTTTTTTCAATGTGGCTGCAACATTAAACGTGTGGTTTGAAAATCTCTTCACATCCCTTTTGAAATAAATGTCAACGCAGGCCTGTTTTGTCAGACCAACTTTCTTTCTGTATTCATTAGACCTTCTCCTGTTTCAATCGTTTTACTTCGATTGATTGATGTGAGGGGTTTAACGTCCCAAAACTACCATATTATTATGATAGACGCCGTAGTGGAGGGCTCCGGGAATTTCGACCACCTGGGGTTCTTTAACGTGCACCCAAATCTGAGCACGCGGGCCTACAGCATTTTCGCCATCGATGCCAGGACTAGATCCCGCGACCTGCGCTCTTTTTACTTGATAAACTCCAGGAGGAGACAGGTAAGGATTAACTCGTTTATAATGGGCTTGAAGCCTAAAATATTTAATTTTCGTCTACAGAAATTTCGCGTGATCCGTATTGCTGATGGATCACGCGAAATACCCGACCCAAGCAATCCTTCGGGCTACGGGCTACAACACCGGATAGGCGAAGGTTGGGCCTGCGCTTACCTTCGTCGTGCACTCGTCCCTGAACGAGCGCCCTCTGCACACTCCTGTCGCTGGTGACGTCCAGTTGGAGCACCTGCACCGGATGCTGTCTGTCGCGCAGCTTCGAAAGTTGCCGGGCTCCCTCGCTGTCTGTGCTGAGGCAGCCCGCCAGTACGCGATAGCCGGCCTCGTGAAGCCTCTGCGCGAGCCGCAAGCCAATGCCGGAGTCGCAGCCGCTCACCAGCACTCGTTTTCCGGCTCCGCCGACGAGACGTTCTCGACGGCCACAGAACGGCAGCCAGCCGAACAAGAACGACACCAGGCGAGTCAACAGCGCGAGGAGGCGATGCATGGTTTAAACTACGTCGGTTGTCGATCGCCGACAAGAATAGTGCTGACGTCAACTCTTCACCCGTCGCACAGCGGTCAACTGGCGGTTTCGGCAGAATGCAGGGAGCCCCTCTGGAGTACACGGGTGATGCGCTGTACAGGGAACACCTGGCCGTCTCTTGTCGGGACACGGTCGATTGCACCGAGCTTCAACTCCCCCTCGCTACACTGCAATCAACCAGAGGTTTCAACAGAATTAATGATGTTGCGTGCTGCAGGGGTGCACCGATGAGGCTGTGTGCTGTGAACACTCGGTGATTCCCTTGTTATGACTCTGTCGGTCACATCAAGCCTTCAATCTCGGGGACGGGTTGTGGATCTAACAAGGGTCTTAAGCTTCCGTAAGGCACCATTGAAGAGGACGCAAAAGTTTGGGCGGTTATATGGCACGTTGTGCCCTTTCGAGTAGCTGGAGAAGGAAGCGAGCTCCCACAGCTAACGTATACTGGTTATTCCGCAGTCCTGCGCAGGAATCACAAGAAAGGATATGTCCAGACCCTACGTGTGCCAACAGCAGCCGAATCTGTTTTCCCCCCTGCCCCGGATACAATGCGCGCAAGCATCTGTTCTGCGCGAGATTGACTGGGTGCCGAGAGATACGGGCGGACGGTTTCGCGTAGCTCGACGGAAAGCAACGGACGGGCGCACTCGATAAGACGTCGTGCCCCTGATAGAGGGGCGCTTTGGAGACGATGACCCTATCTTGACGTCGGCGGTTTCGCGTGCCGCCCTGGTGACAGGAGGACCGCGTTGGTGCCTTCAAAGCCGCAGTGCCAGGCATTGTCGAGACCACGGTGTGGTCGAGACCTTGTGGGGCACAGGCGTTCTCCGTCAATCAACACCCCCCCCCACCCGAATTTTTTTTAATTTGCTGGCTATATATATACTCGCAGACATAGAAACGCACGAACGAACGTACATAAGATATGGTTAAAGCCCCCCCCCCCCGCACCTCGCGCGAAAATATCTGGCATGACCCTGGGAGGGGAGGGTCATGACCCTGGGAGGGGTGAAAGCGTCACTGCGACCCCCGCCTTTTCATATTGTTGATAAGTCTGAGAGTGTGGACGAGGTTCATGTGGCGATATACATGAAGGTTTACACGGACAGTATCTTTGAAAATGCAAGATCAAACATTAACATAAGAAACAGGGATGGGTCAAATACATAAATGAATAAAAATGTAAGATCCACTAAATGGTGCTCGACTGATGACCCGCAGGCCACGGGATCGAATCCCGACCGCGGCCACATTTTTTTTATTATGGGGGCGAAAGTTTTTTGAGGCCCGTGTGCTTAATTTAGGTATCATCATCTTGACTACGCCCACTACAGGTCAAAGGCCTCTCCCATCTTCCGCCAATCGACCCGACCTTGTGCTTTCTGCTGCCGCGTTATACTTGCGAACTTTTTAATCTCATCGGCCCACCTATGACTTTCCGTCTCTCCCTCGCGCATTCGTCTGTTCTGGGAATCCAGTCAGTTACCCTTAATGACCAGCGATTATCCTGCCTACGCGCTACGTGTCCGGCCCATGTCCACTTCGCCCGTGACAGGGCCCGCCGGCCAGGCCTGTCGGTACCCACGTGGGAATAACCGGGTGGGCGTCGGGAACACTCTCCCCTATGTCGGTAGCGCACCTCAATAAAGTTGCTCTCTCTCTCTCTTCATCTTGTATTCAAATATGATATCCTTAACCCCGGTTTGTTACCTGAGCCACCCCGCTCGCTCTCTTCCTGTCTCTCAAGGCTACACCTATTATTTTCCTTTCCATCTCTCGCTGCGTCGTCCTCAATTTAAGCTGAGCCCTCTTTGGAAACCTTCAGGTTTCTGCCCCGTAGGTAAGCACTGGCAAGATGAAGCTGTTATATACCTTCCTCTTGAGGGTCATGGTAGACTACCATTCATGACTTGAGAATGCTTGCCAAATATGATCCTCGCCATCCTTATTCTTCTAGTTACTTGCACGCTCATGGTTCGGCTCCGTGGTTACCACCTGTTCCAACTATACACATAATCCTTTACAACTTCCAGCGTCTCTCTACTTATTGCAAAGCACTGTGTACTACCGAGACTGTTGCACATTACTTTACTTTTATGCATATCAATTTACACACCAACTCTTCTGCTTTCCGTGTCCAGTTCTGTTATCATTATCTTGAGTTGCTCATCAAACCAATGTCATCCACGAATCTCAGGTTACTAAGATACTCTCCATCAACTTTTATCCCTGACTATTTCTAATCAGGGGCCCTGAAAACCTCCTGTAAACACGCGGTAAACACCCTTCTTTATTAAGGTTCTGTCGCTTTCTTTATGGAGTACTATATGGTGGCTGTGGATCCACTGTTGGTTTCTTCCAGTATGTTATTGTAGGGTTCGTCGATGTCCCAATTCCGTAGTGCCTGCATCACTGCTGATGTCTTGGCTGGGTCAAACGCTTTCTCGTAATCTATGAAGATCATGTATATAGGTTGGTTGTATCCCGCGCATTTCTCTATCGCCTGATTCATAGTATGAATATGTTCCATTGTGGAATAGCCTGTACGAATTTATTCTTGGTCTTTTGGTTGATTGAACTCTAATGTCACCCTAATTATATTAGCTATTATTTTTGTAAATAACTTGTGGTTCGGGGCTGGGCAGAGATACCCGAAAAAAAGTATTACGAATTACAGATATCGAAATACACGGTTTGGAAGCCTAAAATACAGATAGTGAGATATATTTGTAATTGACGTAACGGGATATTTCAGAGATACTTTTGCAAAAAGACGAAAAGAAAAAAAGTATTCCGGAATACAAATACAGCAATACAGGTACTGAAATACTTTTCTCCATGTCGGGGATACTCATACTCCATACAGGCATTTCCTATGTTCAGCATAATATTTAAAATGCGCAACGCATCGAAATTTGCAATTAAATTTATTCAATATTTTATCAGCGTTCTTTGAGTGCCATTAAGGCCTTACAAAGGAGGCTTACACTGCACATAATTGTTATAACGACATATTTACAGATATCAGTTGCAATAAAAAAAAACTATGCTGTATGAGAGCAAGAGTATTGCCTGAACATGTGGAGCCGTAAATTGCCGCATTCAAGTAGTAATAATTCATGAACGATTCATCAGAACACAAACTCACTTCGCCCAGACATTCAAGCACATTGTAGCCTAGAAACCCATTCAATACTGTTGTTCTACACATAACACGAAAAAAGTTATCCACTCATAAACTTACATTGTCTTCCCCATTTTCATTGTAGCCCGCGGCACTCATTAATTGCTTTACTGGCTATATGAGCTCTTCATAGAAACCTTGCATAATGCTTTATTAAGAGGCTCAGCGAATTTCATTTAGTCATGTTGAACAGTTTTGCCGCATGGCCAGCTCACCGATGGCTTGTACAGCAAAAACAATGGTTTTTGGTCGCACTGTTTTCATTGATAAGCAATGCCGCTTCAGACAAGGCGACTAGCTGTCATTAGAAAGTGTAGAACGTAAGCTTTCTAGTGCAATACAATTAACATCGATATGGTGAGTGCAGCAAGCGTATAGTGCGCAAGAAAACAATGACTAAAACTCAGAGCGGGTGCCGCCGGAGTTGGACCGCCTCCTTAACGTAAGTACGTTACCCGTTACAGTTGCGAAATTGTAACGAGTACGATACTGAGTTATTTAAAGAAAAACAATGTACTACCACTAACGCCGTTACTAGTAACGCGTTATGGCCAACACTGGACGAACACACTCGCGGTCAGCATGTGCCTCTGACTAAAAACAGAAAGTAAGGATCCTGAATTCCTTGCTGTCGTAATGGTGGCGCTTACGTCAGCAACCTTCTACTTAGTAGGCAAGTGGTTCAGGCTAGTTGGTTTCCAGTTTCGGTAAAGGGGCCTAGCGCGAAGCAGGAGGGGAACACATAAGCAATGAGGACAAGCGCTCACGTATAGGGTATTGTTTCCTAGGAACATTGAAAAAGCAGAAAGAAGAACGAACAAAACAAGGAATGCGAAAGGAAACGCACCTCCTTCAATCCCCTGTGGCCACGCTGGCGTCTTCCAGAAATGTTTTGGAGAAAGAAATATCGTTGTGTCTTCCACGAAAAAATCCGGTGTTTCAAATGGGCATAGCAAAAAAAAGAAAAAAATAAAAAAAAAAGCAGTGGCTCGTTCAATTGGCAAGAGGGAACACATTTTAAAAACGACCGCTGTTGGCAGGCGCCCATTGTGCATTATATAATACTCCTCACAACGAAAATATCACTACTGCTGGAATTCAAAATGACAGTATAACATTGTTGGCAAGCTCAAGCAGGCAATCATTCAAACACATTCTAGCTCTGCCTGAAGGTTCACGAATAAAGTGCGGGTAGCAAAGCGACTAGCTCGCTTTCCTGAAGGTAGGAGTCAGTTTCGCCCTCAGCAGAAATGTAGGAACGGTGCTGCATATCTCGCCGCAGACTGCCAAGGTCACAGCAGAACAGATTTTTTTTTTTCTTCATTGCTAACACGTCTCAGTTCATTTCCGAAAAAAAAAAAAGTAGCGAGATATATCACGATACGGGTGATGCATCGTAAAAGTATTTCACTACTGAGATACAAATACATTTTTGAAAAGTGTCTCGATACATGAGTACTGGTACTCAAAAGTATCTCTGAAATACTGTCGCAATACCACGGCCGCTGGGTGAAAAAGCTATACTCTTGTATCGCAATACTGCCCAGCCTTGCTTGTGGAGAACGGACAGTAAGCTGATCGGCCTGTAATTTTTTCAAGCCCTTGACGCCTCCTTTTATAGATTAAGATTATGTTGGCATTCTTCCAGGATTATGGTACCATTCCCGTCAAGAGACACTTCGTATATGAGGTGGCCAGTTTTTCCAACACAATCTCTCCGTCATCTTTCGGCAGGTTCGTTGTTCGCTGTCGAAATTTCCTGAAGCCCTCCACTACGGCGTCTCTCGTAATAATGTGGTGGTTTTGTGACGCTGAACCCCAACAATGGTTCTTAATTAAATAATGTATTGCACTGAAACAACACGCCAGATATGCAAGGGCGTTAAAAATACACCGCACGGTAGCTATCAAGCGCGGAAATAAAGGGTGTGATGAAAACAGAAGACGCGTAGTGAAGTTATGAAGCGTAGAAACTTGGACAAGTTGGTAGGACATAACTGAATGCAGGAACAGCGCAACCTATAGAAGTAGTTACTTCGTAACTACGGAAGCGAAAAAAACAAAGACAGAAAACAGCGCTCTTTTCTGTCCTTGTTTTTTTTTCGCTACCGTAGTTAAGAAGTAACTACTTCTAGGTTGCGCTGTTTCTGCATTCAGTCACGTAGTGAAGTAAGATAATTAAAGAAATAATTATAACTATCGATGCACTCGTGTCCAAACAAAGTGTGTCGAGCTATTGGCCTAGTGAACTTTCTTACGGTGCAGCGTACACTCGACTGGTACACAATACGCTCCAAGAAAAAAAAATGCGTGACTACTTTCGGGTAATCCCGACTTGCCCCCTACCATGGGCAGCACCAACGGGGGAGCACGGGGGATTGGGGGGCGCAAAGTCTTCCCTTTATGGAATTTTTTTTTTTCGCTTGGTTGCTAACCCTTTGCCCCACAAGAAAATTTTCAAAACACGCCGCCATAATTTTGCATTTAGCCCCTCCGAGCTCTTTCCCTCCCTGAAGGAACTAGCTTATCGTGGGTGCCCCTCCACCCCGGTAGAAAAGTCCTGGCGCCGCATCTGACATTAATTGTTAGTACGG